GACCGAGGACAGTGGAGGAGGTACCAGTGGTGCGCGAGTTTCCAGATGTCTTTCCGAGGATTTGCCGGAGTACCTCCTGCGAGGCAAGTGGAGTTTGGTATCGATCTGGTTCCGGGGCTGCGCCTATTGCGAAGGTGCCTTATCGTCTGCACCTCCAGAGATGCAAGAGTTGTCCTCGCAACTCAGGAGTTGCCGGGGAAGGGATTTATTCGGCCGAGTAGCTCGCCGTGGGGAGCACCAATTCTATTCGTCAAGAAGAAGGATGGTTCACACCGGATGTGTATTGATTACCGGAGATTGAACAAGGGTGACGATCAAGAACGCTATCGTTACCGAGGATCGATGATCTATTCGATCAGTTGCAAGGGGCATCTTGGTTTCCAAGATCGATTTGAGATCAGGGTACCATCAGGTAAGAGTACGGGGATGAGGACGTCCAGAAGACAGCATTCAGGACGCGGTATGGGCATTACGAGTTCGTTGGTGATGCCTTTTGGGCTCACCAATGCCCCGACAGTGTTCATGGACCTCATGAACAGGGTATGCAGGCGATGCTGGATCGGTCTGTGATTGTATTTATCGACGACATCCTAGTATATTCGCGAACTAGAGAGCAGCATGAAATACATTTGAGGGAGGTCCTTGAGGTACTGAGGTCGGAGAAGCTATATGCAAAATTCTCCAAAAATGTGACTTCTGGTTGCGGGAGGTCCAATTTCTTGGACATGTTGTTAGTCAGCAGGATATTGGTCGATCCGGCCAAGGTGAAAGCAGTGATGAGTTGGGAGGCACCGAAGTCACCTTCCGAGATCAGGAGTTTCCTTGGGTTGGTGGGGTACTATCGGAGGTTTATTAGGGACTTCTCCAAGATCGCAGTACCGCTCACCAGGTTGACCCGGAAGGGTGTTACATTCTCATGGGGACCCGAGCAGCAGATTTTCTTCGAGACACTTCGTCAGAGATTGTGCGAAGCCCCGGTGTTAGCTCTCCCGGAAGGGATGGAGGATTTTGTCGTATATTGCGACGCATCGATTTCGGGACTGGGTGCGGTGTTGATGCAGAGAGGTCATGTTGATAGCTTATGCGTCGAGGCAGCTGAAGCCTCATGAGGCGAGATATCCCACACATGATTTAGAGTTGGGGCAGTGGTGTTCGCTCTCAAGATATGGCGTCACTACCTGTACGGGGTTCGTTGTACTATATACACGGACCATAAGAGTTTGAAGTATTTGATGGATCAACCCAACCTAAATATGCGTCAGAGGAGATGGTTGGACGTGGTTAAGGATTATGACTGTGAGATCCTATACCACCCAGGCAAGGCTAACGTGGTAGCCGATGCATTGAGTCGTAGAGCGGAAAGCACTCCATTGCGAGACGTATGTTTGAGACTGACGGTGATGACCCCGATATTGGATGCTATTCGTGGGCGCAGGCCGAGGCTGTAGATCCGAGATGCAGAAGAAAGAGAGAGTCGTTGGGTTAATTTCAGAGTTCGTTAAGGATGGACGAGGACTTTTGACGTTTCAGGGTCGATTTGGGTACCATTCGTGGGCGGTACGCGTGCTATTTTGATGGAGGAGGCTCATAGATCGAAAATTCTCGATCCATCCCGGTGCTACGAAGATGTATTTGGACTTGAGGAAGGAATATTGGTGGCCTTGTATGAAGAGAGACGTCGCATGGTTCGTTGAGAGGTGTTTCACTTGCCGTAGGGTTAAAGCCGAGCACCAGAGACCGCATGGTAAGTTGCAGCCCCTGGAGATTCCTGAGTGGAAGTGGGAGCAGATTACTATGGATTTCATCACCAAATTGCCAAGAACTGCTAGGGGAGTCGATGCAATTTGGGTGATTGTGGATAGATTGACGAAGAGTGCACACTTCCTTGCCATTAGCGAGAGTTCATCAGCGGAGAAGTTGGCGGAGTTATACGTGAGAGAGGTAGTATCTCGGCATGGAGTGCCGATCTCGATTGTTTCAGACCGTGATGTACGTTTCACTTCCAGGTTCTGGAAGAAATTTCATGAGGAGCTGGGTACTAAACTGCATTTTAGTACCGCATACCATCCCCAGACCGACGGGAAGAGCGAGCGGACGATTCAGACATTGGAGGACATGCTTCGAGCGTGTGTGTTAGACTTCGGGGGTAGCTGGGATGCGTATTTACCCTTGGCAGAGTTTTCCTACAACAACAGCCATCATTCGAGCATTGGTATGCCACCTTTTGAGTTGTATGGTAGGAGGTGTCGGACCCCCATTTGCTGGGGAGAGGTGGGTCAAAGAGTGATGGGCAGTACAGAGATCGTACTCCAGATGACAGAGCAGATTCAGCAGGTTAGGCAGAGATTATTGACCGCCCAAAGCCGACATAAGAGTTATGCGGACAGACGCCGGTCCGAGCTGGAATTCCAGGTCGGCGACTTCGTTCTCCTGAAGGTTTCTCATTGGAAGGGAGTGATCCGGTTCAGAAAGAGGGGCAAGTTGGGGGCCCCGGTTTATAGGTCCATTTCGGGTAATTGCAAGGGTAGTTCGGGTAGCTTATCGGGTTGGAGTTGCCAGCAGAGTTGGGACAGATTCACAATACCTTTCACGTATCACAGTTGAGGAAGTGTATAGCCGATGAATCGGTGGTGGTTCCGTTAGAGGATATTCAGGTGGATGCGAGCCTGAATTACGCCGAGAGACCAGTAGCTATAGGATCGGAAGATCAAGGTTCTGCGGAACAAGGAAGTACTCTGGTGTTGGTTCAGTGGCAACACCGGAAGGGATCGAGATGACTTGGGAGCCGGAGCGTGAAATGCGGGAGCAACATCCGGAGTTATTCGCAGAGTGAGACTTCGAGGGCGAAGTCTAGTTCTAGTGGGGGAGAGTTGTAACAGCCCGGAATTTCAGGTATTGTTTTAAAACTATTTTGGGGACATTTTAGGAAGGGACTCGGCGAGTTGGTGCCTGACTCGCTGAGTAGGACCACAGACTTGGTCGCAGATTCGCGACTGGACTCGACGAGTCCATTAGGGACTCGGCGAGTCGACGCTGTTCAGCAGAAACCCTAGCCGTTTGGTTTTGGATTGTTTATAACGCCTCTTAGGCCGTCATTGTTCGTTTTTGCTTACTGAGAAGAACCCTAGAACGATTGTGTGCATCTGGAACAAGGATTGAAGACCATTGTTGGGTTTGGAAGAGTTGTATGCAAGGAAGAGGAAGGTTTAGCTAAAGGAACAACAAGAGAATCACGTTCTGAGGATTGGGGACACAGAAAGTGCATCAATCAGGTAATATCTCGGATTTCGTTCTTCTGTGATTGATGTGTATATGAAGTTAGGGTTTATAGAACCCATTTGATGATTAGAGGGATTATTATGTTGTTACCCAAGTGTTTATACCCCAGTAATAGGATGTTTAGAGGTCCAGATAGTCCCATGAGTGTGTATTTCGGGACCATACGTGTTTCAGGAAGCAGTTGATCGACTGCATGGCATGGACTCGCCGAGTCGGATGAGCAGACTCGGCGAGTAGCTTGAAGATTCACTGGGACTCGCCGAGTTGTTCTTCAGACTCGGCGAGTGGAGTCAGGGTGGCCCCGCGATTCTTCCACGAGGACCTCGTCGAGTCAAGAGGGATACACGACGAGTAGAAGGGGAACAACAGGGAAATTTGGGGAGGACGTCTAGACTCGCCGAGTCGCCTTTGCACTCGACGAGTCCGGTCAAGTTGACCGTTGACCAGAGTTGACCTGCATGTAAATTCTTAGGGTCAGTTGTCTTGAATGATAAGAGTATTAATAAGGGTATATGGTATTATAGGGAGTCTGCAGATCGGCGGATCGAGTGCGAGTAGTTTTCAAGAGTTGATAGCTTACATTACCACGAGGTGAGTCTTCTCACTATACTGTACCCGGAAGGGTTTGACTGTGTGACCGGAAGGTCGGATATGTTATGTGTTATATATATGCTATAATTGAAAGGAATAGTTGCTATGCATGCTATGTATGTTTCTATGGGCCGGAAGGCAATGTATTATGTGACAGGAAGGTCAGGTATGATATATGATATATGTGATATATGTGTTAGAGTAAATGTATTATGTGTTATATATGTTTATGGGCCGGAAGGCAATTATCTTATGGGCCGGAAGGCAATTATCTTATGGGCCGGAAGGCGATTATCATATGGGCCGGAAGGCATTGTACTGTGGACCGGAAGGTCCGGGCCTGGAAAGGCGTATATGTGTAAGTGGTATATTGGGGAACTCACTAAGCATTTATGCTTACAAGTTGTTATGTATGTGTTTCAGGTACTAGCGAGGACCGTGGGAAGGCGCCGGCATGATGCATACACACTGCTGCTATTTGAGATCTTGGGGATTTTATATTTGTATTTGATATGAACATGAAATAAATATGATTGGTTGAATGAAACCACTTTATTTTAAATGAAAATTTTATTTGAAAATTTGCGTTGTTACAGAAATTCTTTGGGTTAGATGGTTACTCTCTGAACTTAGGTTCAAATTACCTTGCCTAATTTTCTCATGTGTGATAACAAGTCTGTGCGTCATATTTCACATAATCCAGTTTTTCACGAGTGCACTAAGCATGTTGAGATGGATTGTTTCTTTGTTAGGGAAAGAGTTGAGTTCAAAGAAATCACTCTGGTTTGTGTTTCTTCACAAGCTCTACTAGCCGATTTACTTACTAAACCTCTTGGTTCAGACAGGTTATAGACGCTATTGGTCAAGTTGAACATTTGTAATCTCCATGTGTCAACTTGAGGGGGAGTAAAGGGATTGTTTTGTTTTAGTTCTTATTTGAAGCCTAGCATTAGTATTGGTCATTATCTTTATTGGTCATTATCTTTGTTTAGATAATTATTCCGTATTATTTGTTTAGTTATCTTTGGTTTTAGCTCTATTTATTTGTGTTTTCCTTGCCCCTGTAACCTGTAATTTTTTGATCATAATGAAATAAAGCTATAAGCGATTTTTTGCTTTCACCAAATTCTTTAATTACAATATATAAAACTAATAGGTTAACTATAAGTTTTTTTTTTTTGCAACTAACATTGATTTTCATTTATAAATATTAAATCATAATTTTTTAAAAATTATTATTTTAATTAAAGAGTTATATTCGTGTGTTGTACTGGATTAGCCTGTTATATTAATGACAAAATTGCAAAAATGATCCCTGTAGTTGGCAAAATTATGTGACTTTGGTTCAAAAAGATACCTTGGTGCACCACTAGTCCAAAATTGGATTTTTCTATTGTTTTTGGTCCCTAACACTAACTTCCGTTCATATCTTTCGTTACCTGCAATATAGACAAGGGTATTTTCGTCTTTCCACCTACAGGGACCTTTTTTGCAATCATATTCAAAATAAACGCAGGAGCTACATCACTCCTCCAACTTTAACCTTCACGAGCTTCATCTTCTTCCTACTCTGTGTTCGCAACTTCGAAGACATAAAAAATTAAAATGGTGATGTGTTTCTGTGGTAGGGACGCGGTGGTTCGCACCTCCTGGACATCAGCAAATCCTGGTTGGAGGTTTCTTTCCTGCCCTCAAAAGGTAAGTGTTCCAGTTTGCTATTTTACCCTCATTTTGGAAAATCACCCTCATGTTTAGGGTTTCTTTTTTACGTGAAGGGTTCTAGATGCAGATTCTTAGGGTGGATTGATCCTCCAATGTGTGCAAGATCTATGTTGATAATACCCGTATTATTGAGGAATATCAACAATGCAAACTATCAAGTGGCAAGATTGAGGATGTGTTTGTTTGCAAGTTGGTTACTATTTGTGGTGGATTGGGTGTTTTTCTTTTAGGATTAAGGAATTAGGGACCTCTGTAGTTGCATGTAATTTTGGTTGTTTTTGTCTTATGCAATTGTAACAGGGGAATGTGGTAGTATTTTGCTATTTCATATTGTAATATCAATTTAGGGTTATTTTGGACAACTTCAAAAATGGGTTCCCTTTTCATGGTTGTAATGACAAATGTAATGCAGTTATCACCTAATGTTAATGTTTATTTGTTGTTTCAGAACAAAGTTGTTATAACCATAAGATAAAACTGCACAAATGGTCCCTGTGGTTTGCTCAAAATTGCCACTTTGGTCCAAAAAAGTTTGGACTAGCACCAGAGGTCCAAACTTTTCATTTTTTTTTGCTTGTTTAGTCCATTCTATTCTGATTTTTTTCAAAAGGACAGATTTGCCCCTGTTAATATGATTTTCTTTTTTGTTTTCTTAATTGTTTTTTTGTGATTCTGATTTTCAGATTTAAAAAAATAAAAAATAAAAATAAATCACTCTCTCTGTCTCTCTCTCTCTCTCTCTCTCTCTCTCTCTCTCTCTCTTTCTCTCTCTTTCTTTCTCTCTCTCTCTCTCTCTCTCTCTTTCTCTTTATTTCTGTCTCTCTCTCTCTCTCCAATTACCCATCTTCTTCTTCCTGAAAATTGTCCAGATGAACAAAAAAAGAAGAACACAAAAAACACCTAGAACAAATTGTTGAACACGTCAATTCTCAATGGAGATGGAGAAAAGAGAATGATAAATCATATCTAAGGTTAGTCTTCTTCATCTGTTTTCAGATATGTTCGTCTACTCCATCTATTTTCATATTTATTTGTGTTCTTCATCACTGTCAGGATCAATACCACACCCTTCTCAGTTCATCTTCACCATATGTGGCTCGATTTTCAGTGTCACCAAAAAATCCACCCCAACCACACCCTCCAATCCTCCAGTACCACGGTATCAGAAGACGAAATAGAGGGCCGATCGAATAAGGGAGAAAGAAGAAAACGAAATCAGATCGATTTCATGGGTTCTTGGGCTCTTCATCTGAACACACAGACAATGATCTGAAGACGAAATGACAGAGGAAAACCCCTGAATCGAAATATGCTTCTCTACCTCATCTCTCTGACGATAGTCTTCAGTATTGAGCTCATGTCTCTGATCTCATCCTCAGACAAGAACAGATCTGAGTTAGTGAAGTCTGAAATCCTTCTTCAGATCTGTCGATCTGAAACCCCTCATCCTCTTCATATTTAATCATCTAACTTTCTTTCATCTTTTTTATTCTTGTAAACAACCATCGAAGCATAAATCCAATTACACTGAATCGATTTCCATATGAAGATGAGAGATGAACACCCATATCTAGAAATTTAGAACATACACACACACTCTTAAATTGATATCCAGAAACACGAACACACACGATTTTAGTTTTTGATTCGAATTTAGGGATCTGATTCTTAAGTTACCCTTGAAAAAAACTCACAAATGATTTCCATTGAGTTATGATTTAGAAAAAACCAAATGAAAACGAGATTGGAAAGATACCCAGATGAGATATTTTCTTCAAAAGAAGAGAGAGAGAGAGAGAGAGAGAGAGAGAGAGAGATAGATAGAGAGAGAGATTTGGTTTTTTTAATTTTTCTTTTAATCAAAAAATTATTTAAATAAATAAAAAAGTAAAAAAAGCAAAAAGCAAGGACAAAATCATCTTTATAAAATTTTTTAAAGCAAATCGGACCAAACTCGCAACAAAATGAAAAGTTTGGACCTCTGGTGCTAGTCCAAACTTTTTTGGACCAAAGTGGCAATTTTGAGCAACCACAGGGACCATTTGTGCAGTTTTGTCTAACCATAATTGTGTTCCATAAACATGACAACAAAATTGTTATAAACCATAAACATCATTCTTTAATAATCACAGAGTTGTTACAAACCATAAACATCATTCTTTAACAATCACAAAAGGTTGACATTAGTTTCATGACCAAAAGGGTTAAAAGACCAAAATAAAACCATTACAACAAACTACTTTTAAACCATTACATCCAAATGCACAAAAGTGGTGCTAAACCAAAATATAAGTTTTAATCAAAATACACTAATTCCTGCATTGACTACCAACTGCATTACCTCATTGATTGCTTCATGCATTCCCCCTGATTGCTTCCTGCATTCCCTCCTTGATTGCTTCATGCATTCCCACCTTCACCCTTGCAAGTCCTGGAGTTATGACCCCTATTGTTGCATTTCCCACACTTGACACTAACAAACTTTCGGGTAAGTTTTTCAGGTTCATTTGCACCAGGATTATGCATCTGACTATTATATTTTTCATCTGCACTTCTCTTTCTCTTGGTCTTTGGTCTCCCAGGTTGAATGTGATGTGGTGGTGGTGTTAATTGAAATGGACAGGTACTTTTTTGCCAAACCGGTTCTACCCTTTATAGAGTACACAGTGTAAGAGTAAGTTTCCTTCCAAGTTTGAAGCCAATACACTTTGTTGACATAAGTGTAAAGCTCCCCAACTTTGTCTCCACTATCAATCATTTCATGTGTTGTAGCTATGGCATGTCTGCATGGAATCCCATTCAACTCCCACCTTCGGCATGTACATGACATATTTGTCATTTCAACCACATGCTAATCATGCCAAGGACCATAAACTTCATACTTTGCAGTCCCATTCCATCTAGCCCTATATTAGACTAAAGCTTCCCTATTTCTTTCAAGTAACTTTGATGCTGTTGGAGTGAGTGGACCTGGAGCTTTGGACATCACTTTCTTCACATTGCAGATCCTCTTCATAAGGTACTGCCTGATGTACTCAAGATAACTTATGATGGGCTTATTCCTACCATGAATAAGTTTACTGTTGAAAACCTCACATAAATTGTTGAGCAATATATTTGATCCCGTTCTGCATGTATTAAACAAGAACATTATATCAAATAAGTCAAATACAATGAGCACTAGTAAAGCTTCACCTAAGGTAGGGACAATAACATGAAAAGTGGCTTCTAGTCCAATTGTGAGGGGGGGGGGGGGTTCTTCAACCACTCAAAAGTATCCTTATCAAACTTGCTAAGTTCATTCATGTAGTGTTCAAATTCTATTACTATGGTTGCTGTTGTACATTGCCATAAGTGATCTTTATAATCTTTTGTTTTCCATTTTTTCCTCATGTTCTCATAAATATGCATGAGACAGAATCGATGCTCAGCTTGTGGGTACAGTTGTGCAATAGCAGGTAGGAGTCCCTGTAAAAAGATTATTCCACATAATCATTCCAACAATCATATACAAATGAGCTATTAGCTATACAAAAAGAAGAAAATAGTACCTTTTGTCTATCACTTATAAAAGTAAAGTTAGAATTTGAGTACAATTCTACGTCATCTCCTAATCATTCTAGAAACCATTTCCAGTTACTCATATTTTCAGTCTCAACAATGACATATGCAAGTGGGTATATGCCATTGTTTGAATCCAATCCAACTGCAGTGAGTACTTGGCCTGGAAATAGACCTTTCATAAAAGCACCATCTAGTCCGAGAATATCTCTTAAGCATTCTTTAAACCCTTTCTTTAATGCCCCTAAGCAAATATACACCCTTTTAAACTGAATTATTTCTCTAGCACTGTTAGGCTCATTAACAACCTCAAGCTTCACAGTTGTATCCACATTAGTTGCTTGTAGTTCCATAAGATAATCTCTTAACACCACGTATTGCTTCGTGTAGTTACCAGTCACTTGCTTTGTAGCTGTTGCTTTTTCCCTCTGTACTTTATGTATGGACACACTAACTTGAAGCTTCTTCTGAACTTGGTCTTGAATGCTTCGCAGGGGTACTGTAGGGTTAGACTCAACCATGTCTAAGATTTCTGCGAATATATACTTCGCAGTGCAAGTCCTAAGTTTTCTAGTTTGAACACAAGTATGTTTGTCCAGTAAAGTTTTCACATACCAATAATCACTATCTTTTAACCTTGAAGTCTGCATTGACCAAGAGTAATTAACTTTATTACCCTTACCTACCCCACTTGCATTTACATTAGGTACATTACATTTACACACAACCCTAAGCCTTGTTTTGTCGTTTTTCTTGAAGCCAAGATTCCTTCTAGTCTCAATGGCAAGTTTGTTGACTTTGTCCTTAATTTCCTTTTTACTTTTATACTTTTGACCCACTTGAAAAGTAACTGCATGGACTTCACCAAGAGAGCACTTCTTCTCCTTCACCATCTGTTTTAATATTTCTTTCATCCTCTCATCATCAATATCTTCACCTAAGGAGTCCCATTCATCATTATCAATTATTTCAACATCTTCAATATCTTCAGTATTAACATCTTCATTTTCAGTCTCAACACCCTTTCCTCTGTCAACATACTCGACATCTAGATCAACATTCATATAGAAATCACTCATGTCCACCTCAATATCACTTACATAATTTTCTTCATCTTCAAGAAAGTCACTATCTTCCTCACTCCTTTCACTACTCCCATCATTACCCCCTTTACTACCCCCTTCACTACCTCCTTCACTACCCCTTTTACTACACCCTTCACCAAGCCCTTCACAAACTCCCTCACTTTCAAATTGACCTTCACCAAGTCCTGCACCAAGTTCTACACCGACTCCCAAACTCTGATCATTACGATCATTAAAAGTATATTGATTAAAGAAAGGATCAAAGTCTTCAAATTGAAATGTCTGGTCAGCAAAGGTATCAAACATTGCTGTATTTACTTCTTGATCACCAAGATTTGCACCTTCATCATGAACTTCTGTATCTTGATCACCAATAGGTGCACCTTGATCATGAACTTCTGTATCTTGATCACTAACTGGTGCACCTTGATCATGAATTTCTGTACCTTGATCACCAATGGTTTCACCTTGATTACTAATTTCAACATGTGCATCTTGATCACCACCAGTTGCAGTGTGTTCCAAGTTGAAACACAATTTATTACTACATGATTGAATCCCTTTAACTAACCTCCATCTCCTATTCTTATTGTATTCCAGTGTCTCATACCTTACCAAACACAATTCAAGATTTGGGATATCTTCCTGGTTTTGGTTTACTGGATGCAAATCAAACTACTATTGAATTTGATTTTGGTAAGGGTACATCATCTGCTATTTCCTCAATTATGACCCTAGGTTTAACTCTTGGAGACATAAAGTATGTAAGTAACTTAGTTTCATTATGTTTAGTGTATACGTTGATGATCTTTATGATGTTCAATGTACTGTGCAAGACTAAGTACATCAACATGCATCATTCCATAGAGCTCTAAGACCAAACTCCAAATCTCTATTTGGCAGTTGATAGTGGTAGTAAATGACCGGTGGTACCTCATAACCAAGCTTTAGCATCACCTCATCCAACTCATGCACATAGAACTCATCCATGTCTACCAGGTCGACGTGGTCTGATTTTCCTTCAATGTAGCTTATCCTTGGGAATTTTGTGAACCTCCCTTCATGATGGAGCTCAATAGCGAACATTGTGGGATATCCTTCTGTAAAAATCATGAACCAAACCAAAATAAAACGTTACTTTATACGGATTGTAAAAGTTTTTTTTTTTTTTTTTTTTTTTTTTTTTTTTTTTTTTTTTTTTTTTTTTTTGTTTCAAAGAAATATGTAAGAAACAAAGTATGTTACTGTAAATCCGTAGTGCATCAAAACACTGATTTCATGGCTTGATTTCCCACATTTGGAGCATACTTGTGGATTCGAACTTACGATTGAAGTTAATGATCAAATGCAAGATTTCAAGGATCGATTAGGGTTTTTGATCAATAAAGTGGGTTTAGTAGGTAGAGAGTGAAGGGTCATTAACTATGTATATCCCTCAATATGACGGTAATCGATGACATAGAGGTAAAAAGACGAAAATACCCTTGTCTATATTGCAAGTAACGGAAGATATATTTACGGAAGTTAGTGTGAGGGACCAAAAACAAT